AAGGGGAAAAATGAGGAGCTGATACCAAGGGCTCAAGTAGAAAGAAAATGTTTGGAGAATGATGATGGCAACAATCATACAAATGTGCTTGACACAATGGATGTATATATGGATGGATTGTGATGAGTTGTAGGAGCCCCAATAAAATGATTTTTTTTTTAATCTGGAAAGGTGTGTATCAGGGTTGTATCCTCTCACCATAGTTATTCAATCTGTATGCTGAGCAAATCATCAGAGAAGCTGTTTTATATGAAGATTGCGGCATCAGGATGGAGGAAGGCTTACCCACCTTGGATATGGAGATGACACAACCTTGCTGTAAGTGAGGAGGACTTGAAGCACTTGCTGATGAAGATCAGGGATTGCAGACTTCAGTGTGGATTACAGCCCAATGTAAAGAAGACCAAAATCCTCACAGCTGGACCAAGAGGTAACATCATGATAGATGGAGAAAAGTTTGAAGTTGTCAAGGATTTCGTTTTGCTTGGATCCACAATCAATGCTCATGGAAACAGCAGTCAAGAGATCAAAAGATACATTACATTAGGTAAATCATCAGCATCAGACCTCCTTAGAATATTGAAAAGGATGTTACTTTGCGAGCTAAGGTGTACTTGACCCAAGACATGGTATTTCCATCGCCTCATAAACATGTGAACATTGGGCACTGACTAAGGGAGACTGAAGAATAGATGCATTTGAGCTGTGACGCTGGTAAAGAATGCTGAAAGTCCCACAGACTGATAAAAGGACAGTCCGATCCGTCTTGGAAGAAGTCCAGCCAGAGTGCTCCTTAAAGGCGAAGATGGCGAGACTTCATCTCACATACTTTGGCCATGTTTTCAGGAGAGACCAGTCCCTGGAGGACATCATGTTTGATAAAGTAAAGGGCAGCAAAAAAGAGGAAGACCCTCAAAGAGATGTATTGACACCGGGGCTGCCACAATGGCTCAAACACAGGAACAACTGTGAGCAGGGCACAGAGCCGGCAGGGTTTTGTTCTGTTGTACCTGAGGTTGCAATCAATTTGATGGTACCCAACAACAAACAATAACAACCCTCCTGTGTCTCAGCCTGGAGACTCATTGTAACAAGCATGGAGAACTTATTAATATCCACTGTTCTTGTTTAAGCCCCACCTCACCCCCACACACGTTTGACACCGTTTTTTTGTTTTTTTTTTAACAGAAGAAACTTTGTGAGAAAACTTGTTTGTCCATTAGAGGTGAACGCCTCTTTGAAAAGGATTCATATGAGACTCACCAAGAATCTGGCATTTTCGTGCCTGATTCGGCTTCCCCTCTTCTCTACGTAAAATCCTTTTGCTCTTCCGACTCTGCTGAGAATGGTCATCCCTGGCTTCCAGAACAGGACCGCAGGACCTCAAGCTATATGGGGGGGAAAACACTCCACATTTTGCCAAACAAAGGAGGTTTCCTGCTGCCCCAATGCCGATTCTATCAAATTCTATAGGGACTACATTAAGTAAAATACCTTCAGCTAACTGCATGTAGTAAGGCTTTCTTTTCTCTAACTCCATTAGTAATTAGTAAGTAAAATAACTTAGGGTACATTAACATTTCTCTAATGAATTGTGTATGTTTTCTTTTTTTTTTAATAAACCCTTTTATTGGGGGCTCTTATAACAACCCATATATCAATTTTATCAAGCACATTTGTACGTTTTTGCCATCATTTTCAAAACATTTTCTTTCTACTTGAGCCCTTGGTATTAGCTCCTCTTTTATCCCTCCCACTCCCATCCCTTGATGAAATATAAATTATCATTTTCAAATGGCGTGTTTTTTCACAGGCGTATTTGCTTGCCATGCATCTTCTTTGGTGAAATGTCTCTCACAATTGTCAAGTTTACTCCTCCTCACAGTGAGCCCGCAGGACAGGGTAGAACTGGCCGGGTGGGGTTCTGAGACTAAAGATGCGAGTACCAAGCCTCATTTCTCTCCCAAGCGGTTTTAAACTGCTGATCTTGGATTCAGAAGCCCGACTCATAATCCATTACACCAGAGGTCCTTCTCTGATCCAGAAAAGAATTTCCTGTCCTCCTATCCCAGTAGGAGCCCTGGTGGTGTATGCTTATTCATTGGGCTGCTCACTGCAGGGTCAGCAGTTTGAAACTACCAGGATGGGGGAGAAAGATGAGGCTTTCTACTCCTGTAAAGAGTTACAGCCTGGGAACTCACAGGGGCAGTTCTACCCTGTCCTTTAGGGTCACTATAAATTACATTTTTTTCTTCTTTTAAACAGACAATAGTAAAATACGACAGTCAGTTCACTATACACAAGACACATGCCCAGCAGCTTATCATTAAGGTCTCCCATTGCTTCCTCTCTAGACTGATCACCAAGTGCTTACAGATAGAAGGTCCAGTGGGCTGTACACATTCTCTCAACGCACACCAAATCCAATCGTGTACAACAGGCAGGGACAGAACAGATGCAGGCAGCCATTGTGTCACAGTGCTCACACCACCTGACCTTGCGGTGTCTCCTGTAGAGGGGAGGTTTACAAATGAAGTCAGGGACACGTGGAGCCAGTCACCTGCAGTGGACACAATGCAGTTTGTGCCCATGAAGAGCTCAGCCTATCACATGATTTCCGGAATTTGCCAAAAAGAATGACAGCAAAACTAGCCACATAACCTACTCACCAATCCAAAACAAAGGCACCCCAGGCATTGTCAAGGGTTATAATACAAGGTCAAGTCAGCAGGTGGCAACCACAGGGAAGCCCTAAGGGCTAGTTGTGAGTTTTCAGTGTGCTTAAGAAACAGAGGGCAGAGACCGCCAGCATGTGGCTTGGAATAGCTAAGAGGCCTGTGGCTGCAAACTCACAAACACGTATGTGTACACACGCATGTGTGTACACCAGAGATTCAATCTTATGTTATAAGTTCTTTGGTTATAAAATTTACACCATTCTGTAAGCTTTTCTGCAAAGAGGGATTTGCAGCCTGGCTTTTAAGCAATCGTTCTCCTTTGCTGGTGTGGAAGATTGCCCACGTTGCTTTGTAACGAAGTCCGCGACTTTAGGATCCTCTACAATTCACCTTTATCTGTATTTTAGTGTGCAGCCTGTCTGTCTACAGACAAACTACAGGTACACATTTTACATACATTACATAGATTATTTCTATTCCAAAAAACAAACCAAAACCAAATTAGCGCATTAACCCCAGAGTCCGAGATGAACTCTTTTCTCTTTTTGAGATGAACTCTTTAAGGGGGTAGAAAGCTAGGTCTTTCTCCTGAGGAGCGCCGGATGGTTTCAAACTGCTAGACTTGAAGTTACAGCCCATCGCATAACCACGACCCACCAGGGGCAGGGAGATACTGGTAGGGAGGTGGGGTTCTAAAAGATGACCTAAGAGCGCCATTCTGCTCACATATGCACAGTCCAGGCTTCGGGTGACCCGCGGAGAGGGTCTGCGACTTGGCGGGCGGCGGACTCCCTGCGGTTCAATTTGTACATTGACCCGGGTCGGGCAGCTCGCGGCCACGTGGGTGCAATGACATCCGGCTCGGAAGCCACCCTGACAGGAAATTCCGGTAGGGGGCGCTGCGACGCCGCGTCCGCCCCCGGCCGCCGGGCCAGACCCGCCTCTTCCGTCGGGCGGGCGAGTCACGTGGGTCTCCGGCCGCTGGGGTGACCGAGGCGCGCGGCCTCCGGGCGGCCTAGAGGGGCCCTGGAAGTACTCTCGCTTCCGGCTCGGCGTCTAGTTACTAGCTTCCGGAGTTCCCCAGTCGCAGAGCGCGAGTTCAGCGAGTGTTCCATGCCAGGTCCCTCCGATGCCGGCTTCCTCGCTGCCGCTGGCTGCTCGTCAGCTCCCCTTCCCCTGAACTGCGTCCCGATGGCGGCCCGCCCCGCCCCGACACGGAGGAGCCTGCGCGTTTGGGCCCGAGGTGGCTGGCTGCGCGGTTTCCCCCGGCCCAGCCTTTCCCCGGAGAGACACGATCCGCTTTTTTCCCCTCCAGAGTTGGCCTGTCCGCCTTCTGTGCCCGGTACTGAGGTTTCTGAGGTTTGCTGGGATGGAGGGTTCAGGCCCCGGCTGGGGCTCCGGTTAGGGCACATGCACCCGTGCCCCGTTTCCCTCCAGAGGCACCCGTATTGGTGGGGTGGGGGCGAAGGGGGTCGTTGTCACGGCCCTTGTGAGCATTCTGTGAAACTGCCCCTGTTACAGAACCAACATCGCAGGGCGAAGGTTATCAGATCCTTCGCTCCGCCTCCTTGCCCGAGTGGCCTTCAGGAGACCTCTTGGGATGGAGGACTGCCCTGTGGAGCAGGCAGGAAAGTTCATGATGAGGTTGGGGGCGACCCGCCTGAAGACAGGGAACAAGGGCCTGGCCGCGACTCCCTAGTGCCTGGGGAAAGGAGGCCCCGAGGGCCGGAAGTGGCTGTGGGGGATGCCGGTCTCGGTCCAGCGCACTCATGCCTCCTCCTCTCTCAGCGTCTAAGGTTCGTGATATTGCAATATCCGAAGACAGTGCCTGAAGCCAGGGGACACCAGCCATGCTCCAGCCCACTTGGCCTCAGGTGAGCTGTGTGCCTTCCAGTCTTTTTACTCAGTGAGCGAATATCATTCAAACCTGTGGGCCTGGCCTTCACTGGGACGTAGGACAGAGTAGAATGACTCCGCAGGCTTCCTAAGGTCGTAAATCTGGGCCAGAGCAAGCGGTCCCTTCTTTCTGCTGCCTGTCAGCTGATGGGCCCCAACCACCAAAGGAGTTCAGGAAGCCCATGCTTAACCTATTGTTTCGCCAGAGGCCTTTAGTTATAAGAACCCCCGATTTGGCCCTGCGGATGATCATTGAGGCATGTGGCAGATGCTGTTGGGTGGGGGTAGAAATGAGAATGTTGTGTGTGGAGAGCAATGAGCTGGGAAGTACAGGGTTAAGTGCAAGCAGGGAGGGCCAACCCACTGTAGGAAGTAGGTCATCCTCAAAAATTGAAGTCACCAGACCAGAAAGAGTCTTTGCTGCAGAGATTGCCCCAGAAGCCATTATTCTTATTATATAATGTAACAAAATAATAATTTGATCACTTTCCAAAGGCATCGTATTGAATATTATGATATTGAATATGCAGGCACTTGTTCCCTTTCCTAATGGAACCTCCAGTTTGGGTTGAGTCAATTCTGACACGTATGGTGAGCTCACGTGTGTCAGATTAGAACTGTGGGTTTTCTACTGCAGCAGTTTTGGGGGGAAACTCGCCAGCCTGCTCTTCCCAGGCACTTGTGGGACAATGTGAACTTTTTACTTTCAGGTGTGTTGCTGACACCACTCCGTAGTGAGTAAACAAAGTAAATAAGTGACCACAATTACGTGTTGGTAAAAGTGCTAAGAGTAAGTACAGTGCTTCTTGATGTTTGGCACAGACCAGGGAGCTGGTCCAAAATGCAAATTCTTGGACCCCACTCAGAGTCATTTTCTTGGAGGGCAAGTGGGCTCAGGGAGCTGGGGCAACAAGCTGTTGAAGTGCAGCTTAAATTAGAGAAGGCCTGAGATCTGGGAATTCCCTCATCAGGGGAGTCATGTGTGAGTGCAGAGCTCAGAGCTCAAGAAAGATGGAGTCAGTTATGGGAAACGGTGAAGAGAGGTAAAGAGAGGTAAAGCTTTCCAGAGAGGAGGGGAGCAAATGCAAAGGCCCCGGTGTGGGAGGGGTGTGTGTGTGCGGTGGAGAAAGCTGGTGGCTTGTTGGAGAAGAAGGCAAGGGTCTTGTTGGCCACAGTAAAGACTGGCTTCTATTCTGGGCTCAGAGGAGAGACAGAGCATTTTAGGCCACGGCAGGAGGCAGCATTAGCTTTATAAATTCAAAAGGTTTCTCCAGCTCCTTAGTGGCAACTGGATGCCGAAGACTGTGAGTCCACTAGGAGGCGGTTGCAATGCAGGTGAAAGATAAAATACTGTCCTTTAAAGATATAGATGAACTGACCCCTCATCTCTTCTGAGCCAGCCTCGTTTCTTCTTCTCATACTCCCCCCTCCCCCCAGATGACTTTAAGTGATCTCCTCCCTCCTGTACAAATTTCATAGATTTGGGAGGATGGGGTGGATTTTATTGGCTTTTTCTTAGGTGAATTTGGAGATAATTGACTTTTCCACCCCCAAACTTGGTTCTTCCCACTTGGGACCACTTTAGTTTCCAACTTACTCAATTCTTTGTGTGTGTGCTTCGATTACATTTAGGTTACCCACCCATCCACCCCTTCTTGTTCTTGCACCTCACTTGTTAGGCTTATTTATGGCTATGTTTAGATAAATAGCTTCTTATTTTCTCCTGATATATTTTCTAATAGTTTATTGATGGTCATTTATGAAAGCTATTGGTATTGATTTACTTATCCTTTATCTTGGTATCTGAATGAATTGTCAGCTCTAATAATTACTGTTTATTCTCTTGGGTAGTTCTAGGAAGATAGTTATTTTCTCCGTGAGCCATGGTATTTCTGCTCATTATTTCTCCTTTATGTTCCTCTCTTGTCTTTTCCAGAAAGTAGAAGTAGAGTCCATAATAGGCTCTAGCATTTCATTGTTAAGGTGGTGTTTGCTGTTGGTTTCTGATCGTGTTCATAGGCTTAACGGATTCATGTAATTTACTCTCAAACCATTATTGCAGGTAATACTTTCATGTACATATATATTACGCATCTAGCATATGCCAGGCACCGTACTGTGTGCCGGTAAACCAGTAATGAGCAAAACTGAATCCTTGCTGCCTGGACTTATATTCTGGTTGGGTGGGGGATATAGACCGTCCGCAATATCCCATGTCAGGTGTTGAAAAAGACTGTGGAGAAAGGTAAAACAAGGGGTAGGGGCACGGAGTCACTCATAAGGAAGAAAAACGATGCCCACAATCCAGCTGCTTCAACAGAGCAAGTTTTCCTTTAATAGTAGGCATTTTGGTGGGGAGCCTTGGTGGCATAGTGGATACATTTTGGGCTCCTAACCACAAGGTCAGCAGTTCAAAACCACCACCCTTTCAGCAGGAGACACATGGCTTCAGAAACCCAGAGGGGCAGTTCTACCCTGGCCTGTAGGCTCCCGATGAGCTGGAATCGACTTGATGGCAGTGAGTTTGGTTTTCTACGTTGCTGGGCAGTGGAAGCCCATTCCCTCCTCCTCAGTATCCACAGTGGAAGATGCATTAATATAGCTGGCCCCCCAATAGGCAGGGGTTAATAAAGATAGGAGGTTATGAGGCGGCCACTGGGAGGATACTGTGGGGAGAAAGACTGATGGTGCTGGGCTGGGTGGAGAGCATACCGGGAGAAGCTCTGGAGTTGCTAGGGAACGAGATGGACTTGCTGGACGAGAGATGCATTGTGCCTTTACCTGCGAGTCTAGTTATTGCCCTCAGCAGCCTTGATGAAGCAGGTTACTCACAGGGCGGCCTGGCAGGCAGGGAGGGAGGTTCAGTCTAGTGGTGAGTTTTTTGGCTTGGACTATTTGCGCGGTGGGGGGGGGGGAGGCACTGGTGGCATTGTGGTTAAATTTCTGTGCTGCTCACCAAAAGGCCAGCTGCTCAGACCTACGGGGCCTTCTGCAGGAGAAGGTTGGGGCAGTCTGCTTCTAGAAAGATTGACATCCTTGAAAACCCCGTGGGGCAGCTCTGCTGTGGCCTCCAAGTGGCCGCTGAGTTGGAATTGACGCCGTGGCAGTGGGTTCGGTTTGGTCTTTTTGATCTGCTTCACTGCCCTTTGAGGGTCTCGTTTTTCTCCCTGTATCTCCCGAGGACTGAGTTTCCCTCTTCCTTTTGTTTTGCAAGAACCCCTTCCTAAGGACCTGAGGGTTGAAGCAATAGAGCTGCTATCAATGAGAAGCTGATACCGAGGGCTCAAGTAGAAAGCAAATGTTTTGGAAAAGATGATGGCAACATGTACAGATGTGTTGGACACAATGGATGGATGTGTGGATTGTGATAAGAGCTGTAAGAGAACATGCCGGGAGAACATGCCTGGAGAAGCTCTGGAATTGCTAGGGAACGAGATTTAAAAAGGGGGTGGTGCAGTACCAGGCTACGATGAGCCTTGCGGTGGTGGTGGTGG